GAAAGGAAGGGAAGGGGGGGCGGGAGGGGGGGGAAGAGAGAGAAGTCTACTCTGCTTGTATTGCTTCAACTTTTCCCTCTAATGGCTGCGATGATGCCTTTAACCCTTCCCTCTCTCTGCCTGTTCTCTACACCTCTCTACCTGTTCTGACTTCTACTGGCTCTGATGCTGGGGTAAAGCTGCGCTTTTTTTTTTTTTTTTTTTCCCTCATAGTGTACAGCTTGCGATTGTAGAGAGAGCAGGGAGCCTTTATTGTACTGATGTAATCTTCGGTCTTACATCCCAAAACACTCAGTGGCCAAGAGGGCAATGCAGTGGTTTGATTTTTGGTGAGTTAAGCTGTTTCTGTTTTCTCCTTTTTCTTTCCCTCTTACAGTGTCTGAGGGGAAAATAGTTTCTCAGTAATCCTATTGCACTCTCTATTGCCTGCTCCAAATAACTATGCTTCTAGCATCTTACATTAAAATGTTCAGTTTTCCTTCAAAGACAGATAAAGAAGACGATACTTGGAGTGTGCTTTGGATACATGTATTTATATAGCTTTCTATGGAAATAATATTTAGCCAGATAAAAATGGATTTTGATATCCTACAGATTACTCACAGTAATATATATATTTATGTACACCAGAGAAGGTGTTTGCAGCATTTCAAAGAATGATTCCTCCTGCAGTGAATGTTTCCTTCTATCTTCCTTGTTTTCTGCCTATGTATATTAATAATGTTTAGACAACAGACTAACCTTGACTGTATTAGGTGTTCAAAACACCCTGAAAAACATCTTCACTGGGGGAAGTTCTCTGACTAAAATCGTGCTGCTTGTAGTATGAAGCCATCTAGAAAGTGCTTGTTGCACTAAGCAAATACCAAATACCTTCACAAGGCTGAGACAAAGACTAGATAGAATCTGAAAAGAACACCTGATAACCACTCAGGCTGCCAAATAGCTGAACTGTTAATCACAGACTAAAAAAAGATATAAATCATACTAAATTAAAGAGAATCTTATCTGCATGGGAAATACGTTTTTCTGTTGAATGGAGAACCGGACAGATTCTGTCATTCCTGGCAATGGGAGTGCAGCAGTTCCACAATGGTAGGAGATGCAACTTTCACCTTACTTACTGCACCATCTAAATTGCTACATGCATACAAGACACCTGATATACCTGATCTCTTTCACAGAACTAATGCCGGCTGACTGCAGAACAATCTTTGTGTCTACATTTTAACATTTATTTGTTTTACAATTGCATAAGTTCCCATCATTTTTTATGAAAATAAAGGAGACTTTTCCCCATGGTAATGGTCTATTCCACTGATGTCATATCTTAAGGATAGCAATAATTATGAGCAAAAAAAAAGACTACAACAAATAAAAAATAATTTAAATTATTAAAATGATCACCCAAATAGGAAAACAATTATGTTACCTGAAAGATTTTCACTTACCACAGAGTTTTAATTACTTTATAGGAGGTAATGATGGTTATATTCAAAACCGAAGAAAACCCACAAAACAAAAGAAAAGCACAAGTCTTTAAAAGTGGTGGACTTAAATTATGTGAAGTAGCCAAGGACTGTGAGTAATTCAGCAATTGGACACACACTATAGTGGTCTTGACAGGTTCAGATGATGCATATTTCAATAATTTCTATAAAAGAAATCAGATCCTTTTCAGCTGGGCAGCCAAAATCCTAAGTCACTCCTGAAAATGAAGGCTGATTATAGGATTCACTTCAAACCCATGTACGTCATCAGTAATCAGTTGAAATTACAAATTAGAGACATATTATCAGCAACCAAGTTAAATGTAAATTAGACAGGAGGAAAAAGAATCTAAGCAGCATCACCTGGTTTAGAAGGAAAGCAGAAAACAAAAATAGATCAATTTTTTTTCTCTTTTTTGCCTATTCCAATTCCAGACACTTGATAGGTGAATTTAATTTTATCAATTTGTAATTTAGAAACAAGAATAATTCTCTCAAATAACTTGAAGTTTATGGAACTAATGAAATCTTAAATTAATGTCACAGGGGGGTACAAAATAATATATATGGTTATTAAAATATCAAAACAGAGGATGTGTTTATTAGAAAATGGATTTAATTGAAAATTCCTAAAACTTGGTTACATGCTTATTATTTTTACTTTATTCTTGTGCTACAACAAGCCATAAAAGTCTGTCAAATATTGCAGCAGAAAACTGAAATAATCCACTCGTGCTGTCAATGTTAAATTTCACCCTGATGAATGTGGATTGCCCACAATCAACCATGTATGAATCTGGGCAGTGAATGTGTCTAGTTACCTTGTGTGAAATCTCTACCTTCTGTGCTGTAGAAAGAGTTTTCATGTAGATTAACTTAAGTGAGAAGTATCAGCTATACTTTATGGCATGAATGATATGGTTTATGTGAGGTTTTTACTACCTCTTTTTTCCCCTTTCAATGATTCTAACAGAGGAGTCATCACTGGACACTCTCCCAGGTCATAGTCCTCACACTCTTGCTCTTTGGATCATCAATATGATATTTTATAGAGTTATCATTTGTGTTTGGACATTGTACCTTTGCCACTCTTGTGAAAATTCCTGCATATTTTGCCATATTCAAAGATCTGAAAAAACATCAGTTGCATATACTCAATAACAGATCATATCCCTTAGAAGCCTGTGTTCATTGTGCCTAAACTTCTCACAGCCTTGAATGCTGACTAAGTGCATATATGGCATTTTCACAGAGTGAACAGACATACAAACAGATAGACTGCACAAAAAAACCCTGCAATTAGAATCTGGAGAAACAGGAGAAAGGCAAAAGAAAAGAAAGGTGTGTCAAAGAGCTGAAGCATCAGTGAACAGATTGAATGTTAAAAAATGTCATAATGAAGTTTGTCCATTATCTTAATTCATTCCTTTCATTTGCATGCAATTATGAGCAAGTTCTACTCCAGGTGAACCCCTCCTATTTTTAACATATGCTCGTACTTCACTCAGTAGCCAAAGTTATCTTAGTCTAAGAATGGCTTTCTGCTCAGGCCCAGGAAGTAAAGCATGCCATTGTACACGGTACTTCTGCCTTATTTCTTACGAGCATTGGAAGAGAAAGGATGCCCTCCCCTCAGGGTGGCGAAGCTCTGGCTTGGGGAAGTAGAGTCGATCTCTGACTGCCAGGGTTCCTGACCGATATTGCACATTCCCTTGCGTCAGATGTTTCAGATGTGTGTGCTTCTCATTTCTGAATGCCCACCTTAAGATCCTGAGGGCTGAGACAAAGAAGCACTGAGCAGTCACAGCTGCAATTAAAGTGAGTGGGTGCTGTGCCTGAAAGTGCAAATTATTACAGAATGTGACACAACCCCACCACCTGAGTCCTGGGTAGCTCAGCATTTACTGTTGCCTGTGTGCCTCTGCTGCCTGTCTGTAAAGTGGGGTATATTATCCTGTCACTTCAGAGAGGTTCTGTTGAGATAAATTAACCTTCATGAAGCTTACAGAGCTTTGCATGATGAGCACCATAGGGAAGCCTATAAAGAAATGAATACTTCTGTCTTCAGCTCAGGACTCAGAGTGCTGTGCATGGGTGAGGCCCAGGGACACACTGAACAACTGAAATAACCAGAATATCAAAGATCTACTTGTTACTTGAACTCCATTCTTCACATACCCTGAATGAGGTGGGGAGAGGCTCTAGAAAAAACCCCACATCATGGTGTATTTAAAGACTACATGATGTTGCATGTGAAAGGAGACAGCGTTAATTCGTGCTTTGCTGTACCTGAGTACATAATTTTGCAAGTTTAACAATGCTCTTTTGGTACAGCTTTTTACATATAGTGAACATTTTATAGCTCTCTCACTACCATTGTCTCTCTCTACCATTAGTTAGCTGGGAGAAAAACCTCACATAACCTTAAAATGGGACTTTGGGCATCAATCCAAATACTTTTTTCCTGGTTTTCTTTTTTGTTTTTATTAGAGAAAATGCAAAAAACAAGCAAAAAAAAAAAAGGCTGTTTTAAGCACAGTCTGTAACCTGGGTTTATGGAAACCACGTGAAGCTCAACACTGTATGCAGAAAGCCTTGGTGTTGTATTGCCCTTCTTATGAACCCCTTCCTTTTTGTTTTCCTTTTTTTTTTTTTTTTTTTTTTGTCCCAAGTAGTTCATACCCAGAATGGTGAATAGTGTAGAAGTATCTTTACAGTATGATAAATTCATATTTCTGGCTTCAGTGAATTTTGAAAAACTTGAGTTCCTAAATTGCTAACGATCATATTGTCAGAGCTTTTTAGCAAAACAAAAAAATCAGGTGCATAAATTCTACTGTAGGATTTTATACTCTCTGAACTATACATACTGACTGCAGCTTTTCTAAATTCAAGCTTCACTGAAATTTCAGTTTGATGTCCCCATTTTTTACATTTTTACCTCTCTGAAGGTGTTGTCCCAAATACAGTAATGGTGGTGTTGTCCCAAATACAGTAATGGTGGAGGGGGTTTCTTGGAAGAAAGAAACACTGCAGAGAAGGGCAGTGGTTGGGCTGTTTTGTCCACACTATGCAGTTAGTGAGGGGTGTCCTCACCAGTTTCAAAAAAAGGGGGGAGGCTGGAGACAGCTATCAGGCTGGTCAGATAAAAGACTTCATTCCTTTCTTTGAACTGCACTAAGGCAAATCATACCCTGTCCATGAAAGAATTAATACTTCCTTGTGGAGGTTGCTCCAAAATTTGCTTGGTTCCTTAACATCTGACAGTTTGATGAAGGAACAAAGTGTTCTCAACAAACATATTTAATTTTCTTAATGGAGTAACAAAGGAGTACTTCTTGGAGAATTATCTTTTTCACTTCTTTGGTTTCTCTTTTTTCCCTGCCTTCAGTGGCACAGGCATATTGGGTGCAACTGCACACAACTGCACACTGAAATAGCAACAAAGAAAGCAGAATAGGTGGTATATGGTGGTTTGTTG